TGTTCAAGTACAGTTTTCTGCCTTTTATTCCCACCCCAGTCCACCCCCCAGCCCCTCCTCACCTCCCTCTGGATATTTATTTTGTATCTTGCTACTTCACTGAATTCATTTATAAGTTCTAGTAATTTTGGGGGGTTTTATATATGGTATCTCTTGTATATACAGTATCATGTCATTACAAATGATGACAGTTTTACTTCTTCAATTCCAATTTGGATGCCTTTTCTTTCTTTCTTTCTTTCTTTCTTTCTTTCTTTCTTTCTTTCTTTCTTTCTTTCTTTCTTTCTTTCTTTCTTTCTTTCTTTCGATTGCTGGGGCTAGGATTTCCAGCACTATATTGAATATGAATGGTGAAAGTGGGCATCCCTGTCTTGTTCCTGATACTAAGGGAAACACTTTTAATTTTTTTCCATTGAGTATGATGTTGGGTATGATGTTGTATACATATGGGTTTGTCATATGTATACATATGGTCTTCATTATCTTGAGGTATGTTCCCTCTATTCCCACTTTGCTGAGAGTTTCTTTTTATCATAAATCAGTGCTGAATCTTATCAAATATTTTTGCATCTACTGATGTGATCATGAGGTTTTTATCCTTTATTTCATTTATATGATATACTATGCTTATTAAGTTGAAAAATTGTACCAATTTTGAATACCTGGTATAAAGCCAACTTGATTATGGTGTATGATCATTTTAATGTATTATTGGATCCAGTTTGCTAATATTTTGTTGAGGATTTTAGTATCTACATTCATCAAAGATCCTGAAGTGTGCAGCTTCCAGCCCAGGAATACCATAGATATAGAATTCTGGGGTCAGGCTGGAGCTTTTGTGTGCACACATAATGACTAACAGAAGTGGACATGTTACTTTCTTTATCAACAATTGCTTTCTATGTAGGAGAGAAAAGAGCAGTGGGATTAGAGACCACATAAGAGGGAGTGGCTTAGACAATAATATCTAGAAATATATGAAACATAAAGAACTAGAAACATAAAAATACCAAAAGCATAGATAGCTATGCAAAATTGTCTAGTTTCTACAGATATTAATTGTTCTAAAAGAATCAAAGGAGAATCTCAGACCAATAGCAAACCTCTTTTTTTCCCACTACATTTTTTACCTTTATTTAGTTTGGGGGAAATCATTTCTTTTTTAAAAAATTTATTGTTGTTCAATTACAGTTGTCTGCATTACCCCCACTGCTGCCCCCCCCCCACTGCAGCAAACCTCTTTTCTATTGGCTGAAATACTTTGATTTCTAATCTCTAGAAAAATTTAAAATCCTTATCTCTAATTCTCACCCCAAAAAAGCTATCCCTGTGCAATCCTGTTAGTTTTTCTATAAAACTACCTTGGAAGTAGTTTTATGTTTTTTGAAAAACAAGCTATGTCTATGGTATTTTTAATTTGAAGGAAAATTAAATTTGCCATGCATTGATGAGACAGAACTCAGGAAAAAAGTTAGATAAGATTCCAGTTATATATTTTGAATTAATATTGCCATTCATTAAGGCATAACACAAAACTGTTAGTAGAGACTTCTGAGAGGTTTATGTGGAGTGCTCCCTATACTCTGTCTTTCCATTTGTACTGGCTTTGTTGTCCCATTTTCTTTATCTTTTGTAAATCTACATATATGACCTGTGTGAAATAGTTGTACAAATGGTTCTAAAAATTCTTCAGGAGCTTTGCTATTACCCTGTAATTTCCTTCCACTCCCTTTCCTTTGGGGATATTAGTATCTCATAGTTTGAAAAAATATGATCTAACTAAATTGAAATCTGAGTATGAGTTCTTTATACCTGATAACTTGGTCAGTTCTAATCAAATGGTGTGAGGCAGATGTGGGAGGGTTAGACCTTGTTACCCCAACCCCCTGAGCTCTGCATGAGTTTCTAGGTCAAGATGGGAAATTTGAAGTGAGGTGTCTTCGATCACTTTTTTTCAGTTCCCACTTCTCGTCTCCTTTTCTTTTCTCCCCTTTTCATTCTCTTTCTTTTCCCAAGAATACTGAGTAGAATTTTCTTCCATCATCATGTACCTTATATTTATTTTTAAATTTCTCAATGATTTGCCCTGTTGGCCCTAAATCAGTTCTGACTCTTAGTTTTTGGAGTTCCATATTTTCCCCATTAAATCTATTTTTGAGTTTGTAATAGGAAAGATGACAAAATTAATTGGAGATTGTTAATCAAATAAATTTTATTCATTACATTTTATTTCTCCAGATTTTTAAGTTTATGTTCCAGTTTTACCTTGTTGCTTATGCTGTTATAATTTCCCCCCTCTATGCAGCATAAGCCTATTAACATATGATATTTAAATGGTAATCTTTTAATGTTCTGAGATTAATACAGTCTTGCTATTTTTGTAACTCACATTCATCATCTATGAAACGAAGATAATCACAGCTATCCCATTGTTTGGAAGAAGAAGTTTAAGAACATATTATATATGAAACGTTATATATGAAACATAATATCTGACAAAAGTTTAAGGATATTTTATACATGAGACATTATTATACTGACAAAATATGTTTAAAAATAATAGTTAAGGAAAAATAATTTCTCGATTTGTTTGCTACTATTTTGGTGTGGTTTAAATGAGAATCTCTGATGAAGAAAATCTACCAAATCCAAAATATAACTCTAAGACATAGCAACTCTACTGATTATAAGCTTATAATTTACATCACATAGAGGCACTTTTATAATCTAAATACTTTAATTTAATTTAATTTTTTATTTTTATTAAATTTATTTGGGTAACATTGATTAATAAAATTATATAGGCTTAAAGTGTACAATCCTATACTACATCACTTGTGCACTGCACTGTGTCCACCATCCAAAGTCAAGACTTTTTCTACCACCATTTATCCCTCCTTTCCCTCTTATGATCACCATACTGTTATCTGTGTCTACGAGTTTTATTTTACTTAATCCCATCACATTTTCACCCAATTTCCCAACCCCACCCCTCTGACAGCTATCAGTCTGCTTTCTGTATCTATGAGTCTGTTTCTATTTTTGCTTGTTATTTTATGTTGTTCGTTAGATTCCACGTATACGTTAAATCATATGGTATTTGTCTTTCTTTGACTGACTTATTTCACTCAGCATAAAACTCTCAAAGTCCATCAATGCTGTTGCAAAAGGTAAGATTTCTTTCATTTTTATGGCTGAGTAGTATTGCATTATATAAATGTAACACAGCTTTGTTATTCACTCATGTAAGTATATTTTAAACATGAGTTTTGCTTCCAAACATGTGAAAGTTATATTGTGAAAATACATGGTATGATTAGTATATTTCACAATCTTTTGACTATATGTAACAATATATTAAAATATATTTTTGATATTAGCAAATAAAAACATGATCTTAATATTACTAATATTTTCACATACATGTCTACTTGTATCTAAACCTGGTCATATTCTACTACTCTAATTTCTTCTTGAGTATACTTTTATTCTTTCTTACTATTCACTAAACCTGGCTATTTTTTGCATACCACATTTATCATTCCACTTTCATTGTTTTCTCTGTTATTCCCAGAAATGTAAATAAGATACTCCTTTCTCCATTGAGCCTGAGCACTCAACTGTTTCTCCCTTTATATTAAAAGTCAAATAAAGTAGACAAGCCCATGCATCCTTGATTGACAAATTATATCAATTTTCTGCAAGTATCCTTTCCTCTATTTATAGATCCTTTTCTCAAGCAGCTGCCATATGGTATCCACTATGTCTTTTAAAATTCTGCTTCATGTTAAGTCCATGGAGTACATCCCAGGTTATGATAAACTTCAATAATCTTATTTCCTTTAGCTTCATTTGTATGTACACTGGTACATTCATAGGAATTCAAATAATTACCTAGGTAGCAGATGCCACAGATAAAGGAGCAAAGATTTTTTCTAAAGTTATATGTTTTACATAAATGTGGAATTAAAAGGATCTCTTGAATTCAGCATGGACATTCTGGAGAAGTGTTTCTTGCTTTTCTGTAACACATGAGAACAGTTTACTTCAAAAAAACATAAGCATTCCTATGTTCATTGCAATGTTGCCTATAATTGCCAAGATCTGGAAACAGCCCAAGTGTCCATCAGTGGATGAGTGGATAAAAAAGCTGTGGTACCATATCTTTACACAATGGAATACTACTTGGTTATAAAAAAGAAGGAAATCTTACCATTTGCTACAGCATGAATGGACCTGGAAAAAATAATGCTAAGTTAAATAAGTCAGTCAGTGAAAGATAAATACTGTATTATCTCATATGTGGAATCTAATGAACCAAAATAAACTAATGAACAAAATAGCAACAGAAGCAAAGATTCAGGAAACAGACTGACAGTTGTCAGAGGAGAAGGGTGGGGAGGACAGGATGAAAGAAGGTGAAGGGATTAGCCAAAGAACATATATACATGATCCATGGATGCAAACAATGGTATAGAGATGGCCTGAGGGGTGGGTGGGGGCTGGGTGGAGGTAGGAAAAAGGAGAAAAAGTGGAGACAACAGCAGTAGTGTAAATAATAAAAATATAGGAAAAAAATAAAGTTATTACATAAAAAAAACAGAACAGTTTAGTTATGTGCCTTCTTCAATCTTCTGGTAACTCCCTAGGCTGCATGACCTTTGTTCTTCCTACATACTCCCCACAGTGCCTAGACCAAAGTGCATGGATCATTAAAAGTTTACTAGAGTTGAATATCCTAACTATTCCACTCTTTGTCCATTTCACAGGGTTTAATCAATGTCAAACTGTGACAAAAATATAATTATTTGCTGTCTTATTTTTTCCATTATCTACTTAGAGGCTTTAGATTAAAAATTGTACCTATCATTAAATATTATAACAAAATATTGATGTGTTTTCTTCCAACCTCATGGTGACTGAATTTTGCATTTACTCTTCTTCCACTATAACTTTTTCCTTTACTGTTATACCAAATTCAGAATTTTGCTCTTATAGATTTATCTCACACTCAAAATATCTTTCTCTATAAAAAACAGCTTGATAACTTCTTTGCAGATCTGCTTGGTCTTCACTCCATAGATAATTGGATTCAAAGTGGGAGGCAACAACAAGTAGAGATTGGCTATTAAAATGTGGATATGGTGAGGTATGGTGTGTCCCCCAAAGCGGTGAGTGAAAAAATTGAAGAAGGCTGGGATATAGGTGATGACAATAGCACATATGTGTGATGTACATGTGCTGAAGGCTTTATGTCGAGCATCAACAGATGACAGATTGGCCACAGTAAGAATAATCATGGTGTAAGACATGGAGATACAGAACATATCAACCCCCCCAATCAATATGGCAGCTATGAGACCATAGATAGCATTAATCTTGGTGTTGCCACAGGATAATTTGGCCACAGACATATGGTCACAGTAGGTATGGTGAATGATGTTACCTCGGCAGTAAGGATGCTTGATCATGAAAGTAAATGGGATCATGACTAATACATTTCAAGAGAAGGTGGCAAGCCCAACCTTAGTAATTGTGGTGTTGGTGAGGATGGTGGAATAGCGTAGAGGGTAGCAAATGGCCACATAGTGATCCAGGGCCATAAGCATGGGCACCCCAGATTCCATGTCTGTCAGCATGTGGATGAAAAACATATGCACAAGACAGGCATTAAAGTCAATCTCTTTGAAGCTAAGCCAAAAGATACAAAGCATATTAGGGACAAATGAAGTACACCCACTAACATCTGTAAGTAACAGCAAGGCTAGGAAGTAGTGCATGGGCTGGTGCAGGGCTTCCTCATGGCTTATGAGGTAGATGAGCCCACAGTTCCCCATGACAGCAATGATGTACATGAAGCAGAATGGCAGGGAGATCCAGATGTGTGCAGCTTCCAACCCGGGAATCCCACTGAGAATGAAGTATCTTGCTGTCAGATTGGTACTGTTGGCTCCATGCATGATGGTAAGTTGCAAAGCAAGCTACCATTCATATTTACTAAGAAACATGTCCTATACCAGAAGATAGTACTGGTTTTATTTTCAGCCAAAGAGAAAAGATGAACAAGTATTTTTTGTATGCCATAAATAATTTTAGGATGAAAATTATCTTTTTGTACCCAGACTGTGTTCTTTGATCCTCCTTAGAGGTCTTGAGCATGTTACTGAATCAAAAGGATGTAAACATAGCAGGACAATTTACTGTCCTCAAGTGCTGGAAGCAGCCTAGCTGCCCACCAGTAAATGAATGGATCAATAAACTGTGGTACATTTACACAATGGAATACTATGTAGCAGAAAGAAAGAAGGAACTCCTACCTTCTGCAACAGCATGGATGCAACTGGAGAGCACTATGCTAAGTGAAGTAAGCCAGGTGGTGAAAGACAACTGATCTCATATATAAGTAGAACCTAACCAACAAAACAAACAAGCAAGCAAAATATAATCAGACACATTGAAATTAACAACAAGCTTATGGTAACCAGAGAGGAGGGAGAAGGAAATAACATCGGAAAGAAGGGGAAAGGTCATAAATGAACATGTATAAAGGACCCATGGACAAAACCAAAGGGGTGTAGGATTGAGGGTGGGAGGTGGGGGTGGGTATGGCAGAGGAAAGTGGTGGTGGGAAAATGGAGACAACTGTATTCAAACATCAATAAAAAAAAGAAAAAGAATGTAAACATAGTGCAAACATAGTAACAAAACCCTGGCCTTACTTTTATACTGTACTATAAACTCTGTCTACATGTACCTGCTTAAATTCTCAGGCCAGTCGCTACCACTTGCTTTTGCCCCCTTGATAAATTTTCAAATTATGAGCCTTGTTTAAATGACACTGAGTCTCTTTACTCCTCACATAATTTTCCTTCTTCCAAGAAGTCCTTTAAATGTGTCCACTTGGTCAGAGGCAATCAAATTTTGTGAGCATCTACTGATTCCACACAGGTATTGTGAGGCTGAGGATGATCTGTATGCATGCCTAAACCTGACAAGTCTGTATTTTCCAATTCAGAATAATCAAAGACAGAAGATTTGATAGGCCAAAAATTTACATATTAAGTAGTACTTAACAAAACTTGGCCATGTGCTTTTTGTATTATATCCCTAGTTGTTTCTTTAGAAAAGTGTTTTTTTCTGTTGTTTAGTTACAGTTGTCCCACCTTTTTCTCCATTGCTCTCCTCTGCCCCATTCCTCCCCAGTCCCAGAGTAATCCCTCCCTTGCAACAATCCTATTAAAAAATGGTCAAAGACCTTGAACAGACACTTCTCCAAGAAAGACATACAGAGGACCCATAGGCACATGAAAAAATCTTCAACATCACTAACCATTAAAGACTTTCAAATTAAAACCACGAGATATCACTTCACACTGGTCAGAATGGTCATCATTAATAAACCAACAAATTTAAAGGACACATGGACAAAAACTAGGAGGAGGGTGGTAATGGGAGGGAAATGAGGAGGGATGGGTGGGAAGGCTGGAATGGGAGTAAAAGGGAGAAAACTGTACTTGAACAATGATTAAAATAAAATTTAAAAAAATTAAGTGACCCATCAAAAAAATAAAATAAATAAATAAATAAACCAACATATGACAAGTGCTGGCAAGATTGTAGAGAAACGGGAACCCTAGGGCACTGTTGGTGGGAATGCAGACTGGTGCAGCCACTGTGCAAAACTATGGAATTTCCTCAGAAAACTAAAAATGGAACTGCCTTTTGATCCAGCAATCCCACTGCTGGGATTATATTCTAATAATGCTGAAACATCAGTTCAAAAGAACTTATGCACCCCAATGTTCATAGCAGTGCTATTTACAATAGTCAAGTGTTGGAAGCAACCTAAGTGCTCATCAGTAAATGAATGGATCAAAAACTGTGGTACATTTACACCATGGAATTCTACACAGCAGAAAGAAAGAAGGAACTCCTACCCTTCATGACAGCATAGTTGAAGCTGGAGAATATGCTAAGTGAAATAAGACAAATATATGATCTCACCCCTAAGTGGAGCCTAATCAACAAAACAAAAATAAATGAGCAAAATAGAACCAGAGACTTGTAAATAAAGAACAAATTGACAGTGACCAGAGGGGAAGGGGTAGGGGGAAAATGAAGCAATGAAGGGGAAGGGGCAAACCAAGGAACATGAAGAAAGGACTCATGGGCAGGCACAATGGAGGGGGACTGAGTGCGGGACACATAGGCTAATGGAACAGACTAGAGAGCCCATAATCAAACCCAAGTCTCTATGGTCAATTAATATTTGACAAAAGGGGCAGGACCATAAAATGGAGTAAAACTAGCCTCTTTAACAAATGGTGTTGGGAGATCTGGACAAGTACATGCAAAAAAAATGAAACTAGACCATCAACTTATACCAGACACCAAAATAAACTCAAGATGGGTAAAAGACTTAAATATAAGCCATGACACCATAAAAGGCCTGGAGGAGAGCATAGACAGGCAAATTTCAGATATCCCACACAGCAATATTTTCACCATATATTCCCTAGGGCAAGGGATATAAAGGAAAGTATAAACAAATGGGACCACATCAAATTAAAAACCTTCTGCATGGCTAAAGAAGACATCAACAAATTGTAAAAGGAACCAACCATATGGGAAAACATATTTGCCAATGATACCTCAGACAAGGGTTTGATATCCAAAATATATCTAATTGTTTCTTATTGGTAAACATGAAAGATTTTAATATTTGTATTTAATAAATAATATTGTTGAGCTCTAATTAATTCTCATAGTTTCTATTAATTTTCTTAAATCTATACATAGATAAGCATGGAATATATCTCTCAATGTTCATAATTTTTATGTCTTCTTTAGATGTATTATTTTTAGTCCTCAATTATGAAAATTTATATTGATAGGATGGAATTTTCATTAATTAAATTTTCAGAACACTTACTTTTTTACATTTCTTCTATATTCTGATGCAAGGAGCTACCCTGAAAGCTCTTTGATTAAAATAATGAAACTCCAGGAGATTTCATTTTTGAGAAAATTCTTCTTTATCCTATATTTTAAAAAGTCTTTCCTTAGATATTACTTCTTTGAGATCGTCAACTTGAGTCATTCATTTTACCATAGCATTATATTACACGTTATAAAATTAAAAATTATTTTATAAATTCTCTTATATTTTAATCTCTTCCATGTAATAGCCTTTCCAAAGTTTTAATTCTAATTGCTTCTCTTTCTCTATATTTTTTAGGAGAGGAACATGATTTGGCCTAGGTTTAATATATAAGTGTTTTCTTAAACCACTAATTTTAAACACTAGCATACTTTTCAAATGATGCTATATAAATAATATCAACATTTAAAGAGATAAAAGCAAATTTTTCTAGAAAACAAGAAAAGATTAGCAATGACTTTTTAAAACAACTTAACTCAACTGTAAAATGCTTTTAACACTAAGTAGAGTAAACCATGGGGATTTTCACTACAGCCTGGAACAAAAGAAACAAAATACATGTTACATTCCCATTATTGTTAGTATTATTACCATCATTTTGCTTTACAGCATAAATGTAAGTAAAACCACATCTAGCCATCCCTAAAATCTCTGGTATTCTTACATCTTACTCAGAGCGAAATTCATATCCTTATTCTTATTCACAACATTCTACACAATTAGGACACTTTTAAATCTCTGTGTGTGTCTCCCACCAATCAAACTCTGAACTTCTTAGTCTATTCATACTACTGGAGGCTTCTCAAACTCAGCAAGTGTGGAGAAGTCTGCAAATCAACAGAATTAATGCAGGCATCCTTCTTCATGAGGTCCTTCCTGACTACAGCAATTTCCAATGACCTTCCCTGGGCGGGGATAAGGACATGCTTTATTTATCTTGCCCTTGTTTCCTTTATAGCGTTCATCACCACAGCGTGTGTGTGTGGGGGGGGGGGGCGGGATTACTCTTCATTGCCACTGCTCCACCAGACTCCACACGAGAACAGAAGCTCCTTGAAGACAGGAATTTGGTTTCTTTTCTCCCACTGAAATCTCAGGACTGGCCCTACTTGGTCATCAGTGATTTGGTGCATTGGTATGGAAATCAGAACCTTCCTATAAATTCCTCAAAATAATTACTAGTAGTACTTGTTTATGTGATCAGTCCCCATCCTTTGGTAAGTCCAGCAGTTGAGTCTTCTCTAAGGTTTTATAACTAATCAAGATCAAGGAGAAATGACTCATGTTAATTAAAATGATAAAATACAGATGCATAAGCTAGCATATCAAAGGTTGCCATGGCTAGGTGGTATTTAAGCAAATCATCAAACAGGCACTTGGAATTCCAAATGTAGAAATCAGACTGGGCTGGAGATAGATATACAGGTGTCATCAGCATATAGATGGTATTTAAAGCCACTGTTGAACCCTTACCTAAATATTTCATATTAATGTATTTTAAATTCAGCTCTGGCTACACTGTGTTCTTTGTTTTCTTTCATTATTTAGGATATGGCAAGTTCACCTACATGTGCTTTACCTCCTTCCTTCTTAACATCCCGTACCTGCCAGGCCACCACACATTCTGCAGCAGGCAGTTAGACAGGCATGAGCAGAGCATGGATGGGGTGGAGAGGGGCAAGTACAAGGTCACCAGGACAGAAAGCCCCAGGTGCCTAGCAAAAGACAATTGCAGGGTGGGATCTCACCCCCAAGGTGACCTTTCTTCCCCCAGAAGATGGCTGGTCATGTTCTTTAGAGTCTCTGGCCTTTCATATGCTAGTCATGCACTTCGAACTCTCCCCTGACCTTTCCTCCCCTAGCATACCGTTAGTCACATGGTAGACCCCCTTAAAGGAGAAACAAGGGGGCCAGAGAATAGCCCTATAAGTCTCTTATACAAACCCTTGCCGGACCACTCCCTTAAGCATTAAGCCCCCAGAACAATGAGGTTCCCACCCTCATCAGACAATCTTTGGA